CAATATCTAATAACTTAATTAAATAAGACAGAATTAAAATTTTATTTTGAAAAAATAATCTATTAATATTTATCTGAGGTACAAATCTTTTTGCACTGACCCATATTATTATTATAATAATAAAAATTTAAGATATTATATTATATAATACCAGCAGAAAAACTGGTAGTTGATTTTATTTAAATAAAATAAAAATTTAAATATATATAAAAAATAACTATAAAAATTAAACTTACCTCATTATTTTTTTAAAATATCTTATTATAATTTTTATTAAATTTAACAAATTCGTATACTGATATGTTTCAATCATGTGATCGAAAAATTCTCGACCCTGAATGTTCTTAATTGAATCACCGAATCTTAATAAAAATATTTTAAAAATTCTATGTTCGATTGATATTTTGTATATCTACCTTCATTCGTTCTATTGCTTCCACCTTCTCGTGAGCTTGAAGAAACTTCAAGCGCTCGGGTGGCTTTGTGCAATTGAGTAGATGGGGGAACGCCTGGTTTTCTCGCAGCTGAATCGGCGTGTCTTTCTAATGAGTATATCCACGCGTTGAATCCCATTTCTCTCTAGTTCAACCCTGATAATTTCTTCTAGGTTTATATTTATTTTATTTATTGTATTGTTTTTTAACGCGGAATAAAGTCAATTGGAATGTATTTCGGACGAGGAATTTTAATATATTAAAAAATTAAAAAATAAATTTAAAAATTATAATTACCATTTACTTAATGTTAAGGCTTCTAGTTTCCAGAACCAGACTTTGATAAATTGCACGTTATAAGATATTTCTCCATTAATATACATTTACATGTACAATTTATTCTATAAATTGGTTTTTTAAAATACAGATTAGATTACAACTATACGTAAACATTATTAGAATTTCTAAACATCATCCCCTATTTGTGTGTTTCCTATTTTCAGTATTTGTGACGTCGAGAAGGATACTCATGAGAACAAGGAGGAGGAGGACATCTACGATAAAAAAGGGGATAGTATTCTTCTTCTTCTTCTTCGATGAGAGGATATCCACCGCCATAATAATAATCTTCATAGAAAGCTGGAGTTGGATAGATATTTGATAACGGATAGTATGGCGGCAAAAAATAATCTTCTGCGACCATTTCATCCTCGTACAACACAGGCGCAACGTATTCATCCTCAACGGTAACGTCTGGTTCTTCCTCAACAACTTCTTCAGCAAAGGTGTCTGGTACTTCCTCAACGGTTTCCTCGATGGCTGGTTCATCTGTTGTTAATTCTTCGTAGAATTGGCGTTTCTTTTCGAGGGTAGATATATTTTTGTTCGGAGATGTATTTGTTGTTGCGTCTGAAAAAGATGGGATTGATTGCGTTTGAGAGATTAGTAGAAAAAGTAAGAGAAATATGTTAAATAACAAGAGTTTGAATGATGATGCCATTTGGAAGCAATTTTTGGTCAGATAAAATTTTGGAAACTGTTTGTTAAAGTCAATAAAAGGTGCTTCACTTTTATATTAAAACTTCATCAATATGCGTATAAGCGCATTATATCAATAGCATGATTCATGTATGAACACGTATATTTTTGCGCAAACTTTGAAGAGTATGTAATTTTATTTCGAGACATGACATAAATTTATGTACATTTCGGAACAAAAAAAGGTTATAACCAAATAAAGATAGAAATAGAAACGAAAGAACAGAACAGAACAGAAACAGTGCAGAACGTGGTGATTAGGTAGCCGAGCTAAATCGTTTAAAAAAAAGTCGATTAGAAAATATCCTAAATTTAATCAGGCAACGAATAAAATAAAAATTGCGAAAGAGATGTAATGCGAAGTGTCATCTTTGACATGAATACGAAAGTATAAGAAAAAATTGGTGATGAAAAAAATTACGAAATAAAGACGATTGATAAATTGAAATTTTTAGACATGTTTGAAAAAAACCTTAAAAGCTTAGACATATAATCAGTAATAATAATAATAAGAATAATAATGCAATTTTAACAATTTGAAATTAATGATTAAAAATAATATAAAACTTTAAAAAAAATTTTTACACCAAAAATAAATAAATATTTTTTTTTTACCAAACAGAGGTTCTACCCAATCGAAATTCCCTTTCATCACGGAACGAGGGTTGTACATCTTTAAAAGCAATACTGGAAGAGATCATTGACGAAAATCCCCACTCAATATTTGTGCCACAAATCATACTTGATAACTCGTTGCCGTATGAATCATTAGTGTATTTTGGAGCATGGTTAAGCAAGAAATACGAAAAATTCAAGGACAAATCTTCGATTGATTCTTTTTGCAATTGCTCTTGTTGCGTGATCTGGTTATTGTCAAACGAATTCTCACTTTTTGTTGGCGATGGAATCTGGGAAGAAGGAAATTGATCAACCAAAAATGGGAAACGTGGTAAAGATTGTGACAATTCAAGAGCCTGTTTTGGGATGTAAAGTTCTTCTTCGTCAGAATTCAAGCTAGTATCCAAGACTTTACGTGAATTCCAATCTTGTTCAAGATGTTCATGATTTTCAAGATAAATATTGATTACTGATTCATCTTGATCGTAATCCTGAGCATTTTTAAGACATTCTGCTTTGTTGCAATTGCTCACTTCAGAATTCGATCTCGATTTTCTAGTGCCAGAAAGAAAATCGTATTCAAATAGGAAAGGTGCGAGTAATGGCTGTTTATTAGATTCAGCACCAGTTACAACTATTATTGGTTGCTCTTCCACATTATTGAAAGATTCTTTCAAGAAATTTGAATTAACTGACGGATGTTTTTGTTGTTGGGAAAAGTTTTCAACTAATTGATTAAGACTCTCATCACTAAAATTTTTCTTTATTGGTTGTTGATTTTTCTCTCTTTGTAGTTCAGAGGCCCATGCAGTAGTGCCTTGTTTCGTTGATACATTGTTTTGGGTTACTGTTTCAATGGCAATCATTTTTCGTTATAGTTTTGTCTTTTCGACGTAGATAAAATAATAAAACTCTGATAAATATTTTGTGACTTGATTTTTTTCTCAGGAAACAGCTGTTTACGCTTAGTTATTTTTTTCTAGTATCGCTCACACTGACCGCTCTTTATAAATTTTCTAGTGATAAGCCACGTTAATCAAAATATGGGCATTATAATAAAATTTGAATCAAAAAAGAAAAACGACGATCTTTACCTATATAGATAGTGATTATTAAATACATTTGTTAATTAAGTTAATGTTTCATAATAAAAAAAAACTATAAATAGGAAATATGTAGTGGCTAATTTATGTATTAGCTATTTTTATCCTAAAGTTATTGTTCAATCAAATCACAAACGGAAGTAAGTTGATTCACAATCACACTTTGTTAACTAAAAATAGACATTAATTATAAATCTAAGATTTTGTGGCGTATCGATCACATTTTGTGTGGCTCGCATCACATTATTACTAAAAATACATGTACATTCTAATAATTCCTTATAAATTCTTTTTCCATTGGAAAAAATTTCTTTTTAATTTTGCTATCCAAGCAAGAGATTCGCCATATCTTGAGTTTTAATTTTTTTAACTCATTTATTTGCAGACATATTGCCGCAAATTTGTTTGGACATATATAAAAGTGGATTGAATTATGAACTTATCGTTATATCGATGCACCAGCGTGTGAAAAAGTTTCTACGCTCGAATACGGGCAATGCACATGGGGGCGAGACAATTCTCCTTTTTACAGATCCGATAATGCTATGTATTTAGAGGAGTATGCATGAATAAATCCCAAGTCATTAAAGGAGGAGTTATGCATTTTAATGGAGAGGCAATAACAAACTACGTGTACATGTTAAAGAAATTTCTATAATTGAACGTTTAGAATGCAAAAATTGCATATTTAGAGATATCACAATAATGTGTAATGATTCTATCAACATGCTTAAATCATCAACTAATTTTTAGGTCTCAAAAAAATGACCAACACGACGATAATAACTATGATTAAAAAAATAATGCTCGCCACAATCCATTTCATTCTTCTAGCAGAAATTCCATGTTTCTGAGCTGAGCTGAGATGAGAAGTTGTCTTATGTAAATTAGTATCGGTAACTTCGACATTTTTTTCAATCTCTTTAATAAAATCTTCCTGTTCTTCGATAGTAAGTGATATTTGTTCCGTCAATGCAACCAATTCCTCTATCGTCTTTTCGATATTTTTGATATCATTATGCCGTTTTTGCACTTCGGCTGCGGCCGCGCGAGCTTCGCTTGATCTTAATGATGCATCTTGAAAAACCAGTTGATTCGAAGAATTTTTAACAAAATTCTCGATTTCTTGTTCTGATGCATTAGGATTCACAACGACGTACTGACGAGCGATGCGCTCTTCTTGCAACCGTCGATACGTCTGCTCGATCGTTCGAAAGTTATTAACGGTATTTGAGAATTTTTCCTTTAGTCGAGCATACTGATTTTTACGAAGTCCAATGTCATTTTTCTTGTGCGCCAGCTCGAGATTTTCTCGTTCAATATTCCGAATACGATCTTTTACTTGAAACAGCAGATTTTTTGTTGATACGGCAATTGGTTCTCGTGCACGTGTATATTTTTGTTCTTCGTGTGTTGATGTGCTTTGTATTATTTGTAACTGAATGTTATTAAGACTTTTGATATTCTCGTTTAAGGTTGTTATGATTTGGTCGATGGCTATCGTTTCTTGTAAAAATCTTTCATTTTCATCGTTGTTTATGTTCCCCATTTCGATGTCCTCCATTTTGTTCGATTTTTTATTTTATTTTTTACGGAAATTTTTTTGGTTTTCGATTGTCTTTACTTTTTTATATATGATTTTGAAAAATCTCGGCAGCTATTTGCCAAGAGAATGTCGGAACGTAGCGATGGAATGTATAAACAAATTTTGTATCACCCCTGAAGTTTCTATTATCATGTGATTTTGAAAATTATACCATAGATGTCTCTTTCTGCTATTCTATTTTTAATAATATTTTGTAAGAACAAAGAGCATAATTACGTATATCGAATCGATATGGTCAATGAACAAAGGTCAATAACATTTAATATACAATATCTGTGATAATTTATTTCAGAATCCTTTATAAATAATCACTATCTGATTGCATATACATGTGGAATAATGTGTAGAATAAATGATGTTTTTGTGCCCGAATTTCCCACCCACTATATATAAATAAATACTAAAAAAAGAACATTAACGTTAATCAAAACGACTAATATTCGGATTAGGTGACGTTTCATAATTTGTTAAACGATTACGGATCGATTGTAATGCTTGGCGAAAACTCCTTCGCATCTCTCGACCAGTGCCAAAAACCAAGAAAAGTGCGATACCGATCAACGGTCCGACAAAATGGCTAAGTTTTAAATCATGATCTCTGTATGATTGTCCATTTATTACAGTTATTATTGTTTGAATCGATGCGAAAAAATTTATCAAAATAAATAACGCCGAGACTGAAACCATCCGTATAGCTGCTCCTTTTGTCACTGCGTATCGTCTTTGAATGACTCGTTCTGTGGCTGCCGATGTTGTATGATTATTATTATTATTATTATTATTATCATTATTATTATTATGATTATTATGATTATTACTGGGTTCGATTTGAATGGCGAGAGTCATGTTGGGGATTCCCTTGGTTTCCGTTTCCATTGCTTTCATTTCCATTTCTGCACTTTCGTCTTGCAAATTTTGTAATTGTCTGGTACTTTCCGACAGCTGACTTCTTCCTCTTGAGTCCAAAGTCGAACGAAATTGCTTAAGATGCGCGAATAACGCGTATGCAGACCGACCTAAATGAATTTTTAATCAGCTAAAGCGCAATGAATTGATTTTTCTTATATTACTTTAATCAATTACTTACCGCTTATATACATGCCAACGGTACTTATGACTAAATTACTGCCGGCGTAACCGATTAATCTTATCCATGGTGGATCTGTTACATCACTGGGCCAACAGAGAAAAAAAGAAAGCATAAATAACTGTTCGATTTTTTTATTCTAAATAAAATATAACTTCTAATGATTACCATTGCATTGCCTGAGGTTGTATGGCTCTATCTTTTATACAAAATGCTGCCAATACCGTTGTCAATGTAACTGGATAAAAAATCAGGAGAAGCATATCAGATTTTTTTGTTTCCCATCCCTATTAATAATTTAGAGGTTTCATAAATTAGCCATATATTTTAGTTGCTAAATCAAAAACATCAATTATTAATTAACTTACAGATTCTTGTTTACAGAGAACTAAGAGTCTATATGTTTGCATTGCGAAGCCAAATGCAGATGCCGCTTGCACATAGGCCATGGACTGTAACTATTGAGTCAATAATAATAATAATAAAAATAATATGCCGAATTTAGAGAACCAAATCACCGAAAATGAACAAATTAATATCTAACAGAAAGAGTAAAAAAAACTTACAATTAACCCTTGAGCGAAACAGATCCAATATGGTGCCTTCCCCATATCATCATGATATACCAAACCAAGAAGGATATCTATACCCATTATTAAATATGAGAAACAAAATATCGCGAGCAATGGATTTCTTTTCGCTCGGTAAAATGCGATTATGAGATATGTAACGGCGACAAGGGAAATTACCCATAAAGTATTTAAAAGGAATAATGCTGAGTACGCGACCATTTTTACAAAATTAAAGTGCGTTGTTTTGGTAAACCAGTAATCAGTAGGATAAAAAAAGGAAGAAAAGAATATTGTTCCTCATTAATGGAGAAAAGCATGCAATGCTTTGTAAAAAAAAGAGTGAAAATTGAAAATTTTTGATAAAGATTTTATAATTTTTCTCTGTCACAACCGATTCATATGTTAATATGAAAAACCGTGGGGATGAATGGGGTATTTATTCTGAGAATCATTGAAGAAAATGCGAAAAAATAAGGTTCAAGCACGTACTAATTGCTTGATGCTTGTAATAAATTCACAATTCACGAGTAGACTTGAAATTCGGAATTTCCTATTGGGGAAATTGTGATTTTCAACACCAACAAATTTTCAGCACATATATTTGAAAATCGAGGGTAAATTAACCTCTTTCATAGTTAGCTTGCGGATTAATTATTGACTATATTGATATTAATATATATTGGTACTAAATATATTGTCATACATGGATTGGGCATATATTTTGATGTATTGATAAATTATCTCTCATTCTGTATAATGAGACATAAAAGAATTAATAAACAAAGCTTCTCTCATATCGGAGATCATTGTCAAGTGAGCTCAGCTGGGTTTATTTATTATCAGAATTAGCTATCTGACCAAGTCAATCACGCATGTAAAACCAAAACTTCAGTTAAACAAAAAAATTCTATGCCTTAATAATAATTTAGAATTTCAAGGTTTCTCGAAACTTCTTGATAAATATTTAGTAGGCACATGTAAAGAACACCTCTTGGCCATTTTCATTATGAATTTTCGTAATAATTTTCTTTGGATAAAATAAGTTAGCTACTAACAGCAACTTATATCTAAAGTTTTCATGCTGAGCATTTTTAGCAATCTTTTAAATTGTGTACACACGATCTTGCAAAATGGATTGACCTTACAATTAGGATTGGTCATTAATATACTCCACTTTAACGGATTCCCAAAAACGTCAAAACGGTTTTTCCTTGAAGCTATTAAAAATCAAAAATTACGCGCAGATGTTGATCTCGTTATAGCAAGAGCGCAGTCTGAAACTAAAATTTTGTGACAAATCGTCTTTAGTTCTCATTTACTCTTAGAATAAATATAATTCATGTATTTTCTCAATAAAAAAATCACATGAGAATTTTTTCCCCTGTTAATCGAATGCTTTTTTTGTTTAGAACAAACAAGATTTTATTAATGAGATTGCTATACTTGATTCATAAAAGCTAAGACCATCTTTCTGGATGGCTTAAGCATCAATAAAAGTTCACACGAAAAACTTTAATTAGTAAGGGTATACTATAGATTTGTGTGGTTTTTCCATTAAAAACTAAATCGTATCATATTTCTTTTACGTTAATCCGTATAATTATCTTAACCGAGTTAGTTTGAATGCGAGGAAATTCTATTTAGGCTGCATAAAATTTAAAATTTTCGTAAAAACAGGTAAACCCTCTAAAAAAGGTAAATAATAGATTAGATAATGGGCCAGCACCACGGAAATTCTTAAGTTGTTAATAATGGATAGTATAAAAAAGTCAAATAATGATATTTGTAAACAAATATCGGTAATAGGCGTTGCGCAATTAAGGTTCATTGATCATGAATAATTTACCTATCATTTTTTGGATTGTATTTTTCCTGTGTTTTTCCTGTAGCAGTGCAAGTTCGGTAATGCAGGGATAAAATGGTTATCTAAATTAGTGGAGGTGCGCGGACCACCAGTTAGAAGTAAAAAAAAAAATTTTCTTGTATGCACGGACGGTTCACATTGTCATTTTTTAACGTGGATTTGTAATTTTTGTAATACAATAAATTTATTTCCGAAATTAACGCTTCTTTTAATCACCATATTAATACATTACTTCAAATTAGATATGCTGCTCAAAGAAACTTATCCCGCGGTGATAAATATCCAAAAAAGTTACGCCATAGATGAAAAGCAAAAAATACATCAAAGTCAAAAACCAAAGGTATGAAGATAGTCAGTTTACATAATACATTATAATCTCGCAAAAGTGTACTTGAAAAGGCAAATTTAAACAGTTTTATGGTTCGTAAATGATTTTTACGACTGTTAAACATACACTGTTTTAAGTTATTCCGACTATTATCTAATTTAATTGGTCATGTATTTTTGATATTACATTGAAAAATTGTCTGCAATTCATACCACCTTATTGAATTTGTAAGTAATAATTAATTCTTTAGAAATATTAGACAAAGATAACATGTAGGATTTGATTATAATCCGATAAGCCAGCAAATACATATGTTTGTAATTAAATACCTTTCTCGGAATATACTGAAAAAACAGAAATTCTCTTGCTCTACGTACTACATGTAGCGGTTTATTTCCTTATTTATTTTTTTATCGTATCCTTATTAGTATCATTTGTTTGAAATTTGAAATTATTTTAAGATGTGTCGTTTTAATTATCTTGGTTTAAGAATGTGTTTTGATTGGTTGTAGTAGATGAGACATACGACATTAATTATCGTATGTAGCCAATTCATTATTTAAAAAATCATTACTATTCTTTTATGCAGTTATGCAGGAATTAAATATCTTGTTATTTAGTGTATACGATCATAAATTTCTTAATCATAAATCCTAGTTTGTTGTATTAACCATACTGATAGGGTGTGTTCATTTATTTTGAGTTTTAATTATTTTCGGGAAAAGCTTTCTTTTGATTGAGCTCATTTTGCTAGAGATTTATGATTTTTGTTTTTGCGTTTCTATTATTTACCACGTATCAGTAACGGTAATTCTCGCTAAAGCGATCCTGTGAAGCAAATCCTTATTGGTAGTACATGTACAACTACTCGTTACCCACGTCAAATCCGATACGGCATTCCGACGGTCTGTTTATTTTACCGTGTCCCGATGCACGAAAATTGGTAGTAGATTACAGTAATAGACCTCAAACATGAAGATCTCTGCGCGAGATTATACATGTAATTGGTACATAATTATTTATCATCCACGGGATGGATTGAAATCGTTCAACTATAGCTAATTATAATCAGCAATTGGCATAGTTATGTTACATAACTAATGCTCCATCAAACAATGCCTGGGGAAATATTCCTCGGTGCTATTTCAGTCCTTATTAATCCGAAGCCCGTATTCATCACATTTAAACTTTATTAAAAATAAGGCAAATTTAAAGTATTAATCCTGGTAATATAATAATTTATTGAACGTTATCAATCTAAAATACAGCCTTTTATATTGCTGATAAATTTTTTGACGAATTTATTTGAAAGATAAAAAGGTTTGGACCTCATTTGTAGTTAATTGGCTAGAAATAATTACATTGATCCGATGTACATGTATAAATGCCACCATTCGATTCGTCTAGTCAAATAAATTAAATGATAAAATTTATTTTTGAATTGAATCATTAAACGCCAAGATATTCTATTTGCGAAGCAATTAACTTTTTCTAGCATTAAAACCAATTTTTTCATTGGCACCAAATCATTTTTTCGTAATTTTTCATTGAAAATTGAGCGACAAAAAAACTATTGTTGATACAATATTCATCACTAGAGAAAGGGTGCCGCCCATAATCCCAACGTCCAAAATCCCGAATGCCCAAAAATCAAAAATGCCAACATATCCAATACCTTAAAAAATATCGCATACCAAAAATAGTAAGGTATATTAGTACAAATTTCACCCTTTACAATCGTTATTATAGTGATAAACATATTTTGGGATTTTGGACATTCGGGGTGTTGACATTTCGGCGTCGGGATTTTGGCGTTCAGCCCATATTCTAGTTCTAACATCACGACGATTCATCATAAATTCAATCAGAATATAAAGTCCCAACGTGACAATATACACAATTTAAATATCGTTCATCGTCGTTACATTGGTCGAGGTTGTTAGTGAGATAAAGATAAAGCGAAAAATGCAGTAAGAAAAAGAGATAAAAAAGCAATTTGATGCATCCAGCTTAAAGTCATTTATTTTTATTGATCTAATGGTGTTTTCACTCACTTCGAAAAGAAGTCAATAAGAGTGAAACAATATTTATTTGTTGTTTAAAAATATCGAAGGCTATAAGAATTCAATGAATATACGATTATGGAATTTGTGATTTAATAGAAAATCGTTGCTTCAGTGGCACAAATATGCATAGAATAACGTGCCTTTTTAAGCTTCAATTATTGAGTTTGGCGTTTCTGTTTAAATACATGCAGAATGAAAATGATATTTTTTTGAATTTCCCTGTATAAAAATGACATGACGATAAAATCTGATTTGTGCATGTAATTTGATTTTACCATTTATAAATATGAAGATAAGCATTTTTGGATGTTGCACAACATTTTGTATGTGAAATGCGAATAACCAATAGATTTGAACAATTTCTTTTGCATAACGATACCATGTGACAAACATAGATATATATATATATTATAACATTGCAAAAGTTAAATTTTTATCACCTTTCTTACTTTTGTTGTCATTTTCTTCAAAACCCTTACACCCTTTCGATATTACGAATCCGCTCACAAGAGTCCAACTCTTATTACATTCTTTCTTTGATTTAAAATTTCTTCAATAATTGTCATCAACTGTTTAAAATTCATTGAATGGGCAAAAAAATATCATTAAAAGATATGTTGCCCTCTATCCTCCGAAATGAAGATAAAAACCACAAAGATAAGATTGATAATTGGTCAGATAATCCACAAATGCTTCCTGGTCCTTCACCATTACCGTTCATCGGTAATCTACATCAAATACACGACCCGATGCATGAAACATTCAATCAAATGTCTACTAAGTATGGACCTATTTTCAAAATTAGAATGGGTTCTCAAGTGTATGCTATTATCAATGATGACAAGATTGTTGACGATTTAGTAATTCGGGGAGGTGTGATTTATTCTTCGAGCTCTGTGAGTTTAAATTTCCCTTTTGTTATTTTCGGAAATTTAGTTTTCGCGATTAAATACTAATAGTGTTTTATCTAGTCACATTACATTCCAAGGGAAATTTCATTAAAAGATGCTGAAATTGCACCAGTAAGTCATCTCATTTTTTTTAATTCGTCATCAAATCTTGAATGTACCAATTTATCGATACAATATAATTCATAGTATGGAACATATTGGAGAACAATGCGTTCATTAACACGAAGAGCAATAACACGATACGTTGTTAATACACATTATCAAAACATCATACATCGTGAAGTTCAAGACTTTATGTGTCGATTATACCAAACTTCAAGCAAACCCACCGATCCAACCTATGATTTACGACTTTGTATTTTAAAAATTCTCGTCACGATAACATACGGAAGCAGAGCAGAATTAACGGCGCCAACGTTTAAAAGGTTCTATAATGCATTAGCAGAATCTTATGCGATAGATACTAATAGAAAAATAACCGGCGCAGCTCCCTGGTTATCAAGAACACCGTCCGTTAACAAACATAAATCACGTGAATTGAAAGTAAGAAAACGGTTAGCTGATACTGCTAAAGAATTGGTTACTGATTTAAACCACCGCGTTACGACGGAAACAGAACGACGAAATTGCTTTGCTGTTCATATTTTGAGGTCAATAAGAAAAAATAATGATAACAGTATACGCGATATACGCGACAAAAAAAAGAATGGAAAATTGAATTTCAAATTACCGACAATCGAAGAAGGAATTGCACAACAACTTCATGAAGAAAATGATCATCAGACATTTGATGAATACGATTCGTTGCACTTAATTGCGATGTTTGTGTTTGGAGGAACTGGTGCCACGGCATGTCAACAGAGATGGATATTTGCTCAACTTTCTTATCTTCCCAGAGTACAGTATAAAATTCAACGTGAACTTTATAATTTAGTAGGACAAGGACACTATCCAAGTCCAAAAGATTATGCAAGATTACCATACCTACGTGCTGTTATAAGGGAATGTCTTCGATTTAGGTAATTATTAATTGTCAAATACGTATTTGGAAATAAATCATTGTTTTATTGATCACACTTATGTCAAATATAAAGACCTTTAGGTTACTTTACAGTTCCTCATGCGACAACAGTCGACGATGTCTATAGGGGATATCATATTCCTGCAAAAAGCACAATGCTAGTCAACACTAGTCAACTACATTTCAGTTCAACAATATGGGATAGACCTAAAAGATTTATTCCGGAACGATTTCTGGACACAGATGGTCAACTAAAACAATTCAACAATGACTGGGAAGATCCTTGGATCTGGTGTAAAGGTCCACAAGGGTGTATTGGACAAGAGTTGGCAGAACGAATGCTGTGTACAATTGTCGCATACACCCTCACTTATTTCACAATTCAACGGGAAATCGATCCAAAAACAAGACAACCATTCGAATTGAATATGAGAGGCGAAGCATCTGGTCTCGATTTAAGTGCTCCTTCTAATTTTAAACTGAAATTTGTACCAAGAGATGGGATTAAAATTAATAAGTTGTTGCGAGTTAATTTTCGGTAATCGTATCCATTTCCAAAGATTTATACACTCCCACTCTTTACTTTTCAATAGTATCATCATCACCATCATGTATTATTAACATTCTCTATTACATTACAATAAACAGTCTTTGTAAATGGTCATTTTGGTTTTCAAATGCGGTTTAAATATAAATTAACTAAACTAACATCTTTTTCTGATGCGGTTAGTGCAACCCCTTAAATGATTTTGCTTTGCAGATAGCTGTGCTGTATGATTAATATCAACCGCCACCGTTATTGTTTAATCTTAATTTTCAAATAATAACGATAATTACTGACTCACCCCCCTAAAAAGATAAATAATTGATCCATTATCAAATATTTTCAAATTATTTAACGTTAACTTTGACAAACACATACCATTCAAAAACAATGAACCAAGAATCATTACGTTCATTCCACTCACAGCAACATCATCAGCTTGAGACGACTCGATTGTTAGAAGAAGCAATACAACAAACGCAACGACGTCAAAAATTAAAGCCTTTTTTAATTCAAACGTTTTTGGTGACGATGATTTGCTTGTTAATGTATGGTATTATTCGAGGTAAAATTTATAAAATATATTTATTATTTTAACCTATCATTATTGACAGTTACATGTAATATCTTTATTATTATTATAGGTTTTGTGGCGTTACTTCATAAAGGATTTTATTCGAAAGAATAATAATTATCCATTTGAAGAGAAATTGTTATTTAACACAATGATAGAGTTTCTTTAACTACCAGTGCGTGATCAAACTCGTATTTACCTTATCGTTATTATATTCGTCACGCTAATTAGTTGCGATTCATTTATTAAAAGCTGAAAAAATTTGAATTATTGACGCAGTAACGATCAGAGGTTAAATACTGGTGTGATTATATTAAAATAATTACTTGCCCCGATATTATAGAACAAAAAGGAAATCTAATAAACCTATCGATTTTCGTATACAATTTCGTTTTCGAGTATTCCATTTCGTGACATGATAACTTGGCGGATTTGTGCCAAAATATCACTATTTAAATTCGTCTTAACAAGGAGAATCAAATTTCGTTATTTTTAACTCAAATCCAACAATCGGATGTCGAGTCATCGTATGCACGAAAATTGGTAGGTTTGCCTTACAGATGCGATTTTTCAAAGGACCATAATACTCGTACGAAAATTAAAAATGAATTTATTTTCTATAGAATGCCCTAAAGATGGGCTTCTCAACCGTTGCAACATTGTGATAAACATGTTACCATCTTATGAATTTTGAGTCACAATGTTGTGATAAATAGAGCATTGCCAGATATTTGTTATGGATTGTATGTGATAAAAAATTTCTGGTGATTTTCTACTTTCATTATAAGTTATTTCATTTATGATCTATTTGAAACTTAACATCTTGAGATTTAGTAATGAGAATTGAGTATAAGACACACAATTTGATTCATTAGTATTAAAATCAGATATGCTTTATGCTTGAATTCTGCCACTAGATTTCAAGATATTAAGTTTCAAAGAGATTATATATCTATACATAGTCTCTTTAAAGTTTAATATCTTGAAATTGAGTAATAAAAATCAAAATATAAAGTTACTATTCAATTCATTAGAATTTATATATAATATATATTCAATTTTTATTACTGGATTTCAAATATTAAGTTACAAAGATATTATATATGTAATTTTGATTTATTTAATATATAATTTTATGTATAGCCTTTTTAAAACTCAATATCTTAAGACTTAATAGCAGAAATCAAGTCAAAATATATTATTTGATTTTTTAAATTCTAATAAATTAAATAATAAATTTTAATTCAATTTTATTACTGGAATTTGAAATATATAAGAAGTTTTAAATGAATTATTCAGAATAAAAATTATATAAATTAATATTTATATGGATATTATATAAAATATTATTATTATATATTTATAAATATATAATAATATTAAAAAATAATATAAAAAATATTAATATTTTATTAAATTATAACTTATATTTAATAAATAATATTAATTATTATTATTATATATAGTAATTATCATAATTATAAAATTAAAAAATTGATTTTAGTTAAAAATTAAAATTTTCTTTCTATATTAAACTTTATAATTTTATTAGAAATAATTTTTATTTTTAAATTAAATTAAAGTTTATAGTTTAATATATATTTTTTCAGATTTTTTAGATCTTTTCTAAAAAAAGTTCTAATTATAAAGTTAATACAAATATTTTTACTAATTAAAAATGTAATTTAATTAATAAAAATTTTTATATTAACTTTATAATTAGAATAACTCTTTCAGAAAAATCTGAAAAAATATATATTAAATTATAACTTATAAACTTTATTTTAATATAAAAATAAAAATTATTTCTTAATAAACTTATATAAGAGAAAATTTTAATTTTTATTATATTTAATTAATAAAATTAATTCTCTAATTTCATAATTATAAAAGTTACTTATATGTAAATTTATTTTTTATAAATATATAAAATAAAATTTTTGATTCTTTTATTTATAAAGAATTAATTATTTTTTTCTTATTTTGAAAAGTTTAATTTTTTTAATATTTATAGATTAATATAAAAAGATTTATATTTTAAATAAATATTAATAAATTATTTTTTTAAAATAAAATTTTAATTCTATCTTATTTAATTAAGTTATTATATATTAAAATTTATTTAAATATTATTAATAAAATTTTTTTTTATAAAAGATATATAAAAATTTTTATTAATAATAACTTTTTTCAATTATTATTTCTTAAATTTTACTATATAAAATTCAATTAAAATTAATATAAAAATTATATAATAAATAATTTAATTATTTAACTTTGAATTTTAATATCTTTATAATTACTAATTTAATTTTTATGAAATTTAAAATATATATTTATCAAATCTAGAATAATTTACTTATATAATTTTTATGAAATTTAAAATATATATTTATTAAATCTAGAATAATCTACTTATATAATTTTAAATTTTAATATTATAATTTAATATTAATAAAATTTAAATATTATTTTTTTAAAAAATAATTTTATTTTAGTTTTTTTTAGTAAAGTAATATTTTATTTATTATTAAATTAAAGTATTAATAGAATAATTAAAATAGTATAAAAAGTTAATTTAAATTATTTTTTATTTAATATAAAAAATTATAAAAATTAATTAAAATTTGAATGATTTTATTTAAAGTAATTATTAATTTTTATATTAAAATATAAATCTTTTTATATTAATTCATTTTACACTTAAAAAAATTGAAATATTAAAAGAATAACTTTATTATAAATAATATTTTTATTTAAATAAATTTATTTTTTATTAATATAATTAATAATAATTATTTATAGTGATGACCAAAAGTAATGACTCAGAGACTAAATTTACTAATAAAACATAGTGAAAATTAAAATTTTCTCTCTATATAAAAATTTATGATTTTAATAAGAAATAATTTTTATTTTTATATTAAA